GTTCATGTCTATGTCCATGTCTATGTCTATGTCCATGTCCATGTCCATGTCTATGTTCATGTCTATGTCTATGTCTATGTTCATGTCTATGTCTATGTCTATGTCCATGTCTATGTCTTTGTCCATGTCCATGTCTATGTCTATGTCCATGTCTATGTCTATCTCTATGTGTATATATGTGTATATATGTATATATATGTGTATATGTGTATATATGTGTGTCTGTGTATATAGGTATATATATGTATATATGTGCATATATATATGTATATATACACATATATATGTAGTATGTGTATATATATGTACATACACACACACAAACTCCTCACTTACCCATATGTAGGTTCCAAAGTCCAGGTTGTTATGTGAAAATCAGCATTATGCAAGAGTTAGGGTGTGACCCATCTTCGGCACAGGTGTACCCCCAGTTGCTCAGAGTCTGTTGGGCGCTCCTGGTGCGTTTTAGGATGCCTATGGCACAGCACTCCCCCCCCAATCACATCTTCCCTGCTACTGCAGAGTCCTCGGGCATTGAGGGTGGCGGTGGTGAGGGCTGGTCTGCTGCCTCTGGAGCAGAGGAGGCCCACCATCACTTGGCTGTGCCCCAGGCCACCGCCTAGTCTCTCCACCTGCCCGCTCGGTCAACCCAAGACTGGCCTTGGCTTTAAATATACAATATACAAGTGGGCCACCTGGGCCCGATGTTGGCTGTGGAGGTGGCATATATATATGTATAGAACTGGAGCCCTGGTGGGGAAGTGGTTAAGAACTCAGGCTGCTAACCAAAAGGTGCAGTTTAAATTCACCAGCCTCCCTGGAAACCCTATGGGGCATTTCTACTCTGTCCTACTGTGAGTCTGAATGGATTCCACAACTCCATGGCACAACAGTATATAGAACCCAAACCAAATCCCATTGCCTTCAATAGATTCCAATTCAGAGTGTGCCCACAGGACAGAGTAGAACTGTCCTACAGGGTTTCCAAGGAGGGGCTGGTGGATTTGAACTGCCAACCGTTTGGTTATTAGCAGGTCTTTTAACCACTGCACCACCAGGGTGCCCTATATATATATATATATATATATGTATGTGTGTATGTATATGTGTGTATATGTGTATATATGTATAGATATGTATATATGTGTATATACATATGCACACACATATGTATACATATTATATAACCACAAAAATTAAGTTACGGAATATTTCTGACATCCCAAATATTCTCCTTCTGCACCTTTCCACTCATTACCTCTCCCTCCACCAATCCAGCCCCAGATAATCACTTACCTACTTTGTGTCATGATAAACTGGTCTACCTAGTCTAGGTTTTTATGCAAATGGATTCCAATAGCATGCACTCTTCTGTGTCTGTTTTTGAGATTCATCTATGTTGTGTGCATCACTAAGTCATTCCTTTTTATTGCTGAGTACTGTTCCGTTGCATGGATATATCACAATAGCTTACGCACTCAACTGCAGATAGAAGTGTCAGTTGCTTCCAGTATAAACAAAGCTGCTATGATTATTCATGTACAAGTATTTGTAGATATAGGCTAACTTGTATTAGGAAAATACCTCGGAATAGAATTCTGGGTTGTAAGGGATATATTAAGCAAAATCAATCGTGTGTATGTGTGTGTGTTTTCAGCTCTTTCTAAAGTTTTTTTTTTTTTTTTGGAAAAAAGATAATTTAAACCACTGCCTTTAACTCATTCAGGTCAGACCGGGTTATACTGCATTAACAAATAATTCCCCAAATCTCAGTAGTTTAAAGCAACAAGATTTATTTCTTATTTATACAACCTGTTGGTGGCGGCTTCTGCTTATCTTAGTCACGACAGATTTAGGCTGGTAGAGGATCTGTCTTGACACGGCCTTCCAAGATCACTATGGCAGGATGAAAGGCACTTGGCAAACCCTTACTGCCTCTTAAAATATTGGCTAGAAATGACACTCATTGCTTTAGCTAAAATCTCTGACATGTCCTGGCCATAACTAATTTCAAGGGATTAAGTGAAATTCTACCCTATATTCAGTGGGATAAGGAACAGAACAGTAACAATGACTATGACAGTTCACCAATTGACGTATGTGATTTTATTGCTCTGTCTTACACTGGCTATTAGGTATTCTTATTTTTTACTTATGATTTTTTTCTTTTTACCTAGTTTGATCCAATTAATAATTATTTGATTTTTCTCTCAATGATTTAAATTTCTACTTGTATACATTATTTCTTATGCTAAGTTACTATCCCTTAAACACAAAATTTTTGCCTGTGTTATGAAATAAGACACTAACTCTATGCCCTTAACAAAGTGCTCTAACTATTCACTGCTTCTATGTTACAATGACATATTATTATATAATGCCACTCTCATTCTCCAGATTCGAATTTTAGAATACCTTTCTTCCCCATCTCTCTACCACCCATAACCCTAGGTTTTACTGTGAGAGTTTAGTAATATTTTGTCCCAGAAAACTGCTAGCCTTTCCCCTGTAATATATCTCTTTCCTTGCAATAATGATTTAGCATTTTTAAGACAAATTTTTAGTTATTCTATCGTCAACTGTTATATATTATATATGTATATATATCAGCATAATCTAGTCTGACCTGAATGATATATAAACTAAAAGTTAATAATTTTAATTCTATTATTTATAGACAAAAATCTTTCAGAATGAGCTTAAAAAAAAATTTGGAATTTATTTCTATGAATTTTATGAAAAAACACATAAAACTAAGTGAAAAAGTTGGAAAATAAAGGAATGGACAAAGAGATAATGCAATAAAAAAAAATGTAGGTGTGATGATAGTTTTACCAGATTAGGAAAAATCTAAAGTTAAAAACAGTATATAAGACAAAGAAGGATTTATGTATGTAGTGTTCAAATGCACAATTTATGAAATAATTCTAAACCATACGCCTGTATCATCAATATGAGATAAATACATAAAGCAAAATTTAGTAGAGATGCAAGGAGATTTTTATTTAAAATAAACTCAGAGATTGAACACATGATTTTTGGTAGCATAGAAACCTTGCAGAAAAATTGGTAAATATGAAATAAATGATTCCATACTTAAATTGATACACTTGTTTAATACATATGAGTACACTTATATTTATATGACAGTGAATTCTTAAAATAGAGTATCTTTGAAACCGACAAAACTGGAAATTTATAAAAAGTACAAATTTAAGATTCTTAGAAATAAGTAGATTTCTCTCTCTTTGAACATGATACAATAAAATTAAAAATAATGATAATGTCAAGAAAATTAACTTTTTGTGGAAAAGATATAATCCTAAATAATCTTTTGATCAAAATGAATAAAACAAATGAAATTACAGATATTTAAAATGTAATACAAAGGAAAACAATTCCTTTTGGAGACATTAAAGCTATTATCACTTAAAGATGTATCACCCCAAATCTTTCACTGTCAAATGAGAAAGAATAAAGGAACCTAATAAATATATTAATAAAATCACAAAGGAAAAAAGGAAGGCGATGACAAATTTAAATCTCAAATCAATTAGTAGAAAAAAATCTGACAAGAAAAATTAAACTGAAAACTGGTTTTTTTGAAAAAAATCACAAAAGCCAAATTGAGTAAAACAGAGAAAGCAAACATAACAAATAGCAGTAATAAGATTAAAAATGTAGTCACAGATGGAGGGAGAATAAATATATATAAGAGAAGAGTATATGCAACTTTTTGGCAATAAATGTAAAACTCTAAAGGAAAAGGGTGATTTCTAGTAATTTATTGTAAAATGGCATTAGTAATAGTAGCATCAGAACCTGTCTGACATCATGGAGGTTAATAATCAGCACAAAGCTGATTCCCATAAGGTAGAGATCAGCCATGCCTCTACTCTCCAAACTTGTTACCAGTTCTCATGCCAGCCATCCCTCCACAGCACTCTCTACTTCTCTTCTGGGTTCCATAATCCATTGCAATGGCCACACAGAGCTCACAGACCATACTTACAGTTAAAAATACCGTTGCTGTTGAGTCAATTCCGACTCATAGTGACTCTTTAGGACAGAATAGAACTGCCCTGTAGGGTTTCCAAGGAGCTGCTGGTGGAGTCGAACTGCCAACCTTTTGGTTAGCAGCTGAGCTATTAACACTGGGACACCAGGGCTCCTTCCTTATAGTTAAGTGATTTATTAAGAAAGAGGGTACAACTCGGGATCAGGATCAACATGCTACAATTCAGGTTTAGGACGTATGCAGGCAAAGTCTCCCTTCTTCAGTTCAGGACAACTCTTGGCTCCTGTGAGCTGTGAAGTCCTCCTCTCTGCCACCTCAGGACAGACTCCCCTTGGCCTGCCGAGGACAAGCTCCTCTAGGTCCTCTCAGGACAGGCTCCTCTTGGCCCTGCCATCTGTAGTCACCAGCTCTGCCACTGGGCCCCTTCCGGACCTCTGGCTATCTTTAGTGTTACAGCCCTTGACCCATATTACAGCTCTTTTGGAAGATTCCTTGCCTCCTCTCGCTCTTTCTCTTTCCGTCTGTCTGCTTCTTTCTGCTCTCTTCCTTCTGCTTCTCTTCCTGCTTCTTTGTGTCTGAAAAACCTCTGTGAGACTGACTGACTGCAAGTATGTATATACACAACTCCTTGCTAATTTCAAGGCATGACCCCTCTGCGGGGTGTGGCACAAGCTAACCAATCTCCTCTCGGTAGGCCACAGATACTTCATTTGCATAGTTACCTCATTTGCGTAGTCCGAAGTCATTTCATTTGCACAGCTGTATTGACCAATCTCTGCAAGATGCACAGCGATCAGTGGCCAGACAAAAAGCCCAACTGTTAGAGCTTACCCAGGAAACGTCAATCAACCTGGACGAAAGTAACAAACCCTTTGGAGTAGAAACTAGGGCAAAGATAACTTCTCAGAGCTTAGCGGGGAAATCTCTCAAGCTGCTTTTCCAAAGAATCAAGACAAAAGGCCACAGAAAGGAACTCATTTCACCACACGTATAAAAGAGAAAACTTGAACAGATCAATCATCAGAGAATGGATTGAAAAACTTAATTACAATACAGACAATGGAGAAAGTTAAGGAAGGACTTAATTCCAGCAGGTGGTCAACCCTGGCTACCTGGAGATGGGAAGAGTGACTTGGAATAGTGGACCAATGAGAGCAGGATTAGGAAGATGGGAGGGAGGAGAAAAAAAACAAAACAAAACTGCCAATATATAAAAATGAAGCTACCCATAACAATATCCACAAGATGTCATATGAGTATATTTGCATAAATTGTATTTGTTTAGTACTTTTAGAAGTGATTATAGAGATGTATTCAAGTTAGCTGAACACAATGAGGACTACTTGACTTGTTAAGCAATTTTTTTTTTTGTTAAAAAAAAGGTAATGAGTTCCAATACTCCTATACGCTGCAGGGCGGGTGATCGGGGAGAGGAGATGGGAATAAAGGTGTTGCTTCCCATTAGTTAATTTAACTCATGTTTTCTTAAAGGACAGAGGGCTTCATCATGCAAGCGGTACCAATTTCTGTGTATTTCACTAATGCTGCACCTGGTATTGCTGGCTAGCCTGGGAACCCTGGAGTTAATGTGTAAGTTTCCACTTTCTCTGAGGCTGTCATTGGTTTTATTAGACACATCTCAAAAGAATCCAGGTTCTGAGGCCCATCCAAATAAAATTTCCAGATAAATAGAGAGGAAAACAGGTTTCATATCTATATAACTACATAACACTGGATCCCTGGTGGCATAGTGGTTAAGTGCTCAGGCTGCTAACCAAAAGGCCGGGCAGTTCAACTCCACCAACCGCTCCTTGGAAGCCGTACGGGGCATTTCTACTCTGTCCTATAGGGCCGCTATGAGTCGGAATTGACTCGATGGCACACAGCAACCACCACGACAAGTATAACATCAGTCATTCTCTTAAGAATATTTTCAAATCAGATCACCTCAGTGACGATTATTCTTCAACAGAATAATGCTAAAGACGATAAAGATCATTTTTCTAAAAGCTGTAAAATCAATACAACAAAAGTATAACTCATTTATACCCTGAAAGTTTTCATGATGATTTTGTTTATTTGACAAAGTATATTCTCCATTTCCATGGCATTTTCGCCTTCTCCTCCTCAGTCAAATATCTTTCAAAATACCATTATCATTATCTTGATTCTTTCACTTCTGATTTTCTAACAAGGTGTTATTATCTATTAAGGATCTTGGCTATTTTAAGTGAACATAATCTGGTTTTATGTTGCTGTCGTTTCAAAGATTATGACTCCAAAACAATAAATTCTTTTTTTCTAGCACTTCCATAATTATTCCTCGTATTAGTATAATAATTGAAGGGCAGGGTCTTTTTCCTCCAATATACTGTAAGGGAGCAGAGAGATTTATTTACTCATTGTATGTTTTGGATAAATGAAAGTGTTAAATGAATAAATGAGTAAGTAGTAGTAGACTTTTGAATATCTTTATAAGCAGAGACAAATCTTTCTCCACTCTTAACAGCAAGTTGTTTCATATTTAAGAAATGAGGTCTCAAGTATTTTAAAATACACCTTTTCAATAAAAGTGCAATATACGTACAGTGTCAAACTTCAAAATATAGGAAAGTAGAAGAAATGAAAAACAATTGACTACCCACCAACAGAAGCTAACTGCTATTAAAATACAGAGATATACGTTGGCATCTTTGGGATGATAGGCTATCAATTTATATCAATATCTCATTTAATAATTTCAATACATGTTCTTTTTTGTTGTTGCTAGCTGTCGTGGCGTTGGCCTCTGACTCATGATGACCCCGTGTGTTACAGAGCAGAACTGCTCCATGGGGTTTTCTTGGCTGTAATCTTTACAGAAGCTGATCTCTAGGCCTTTCTTCTGTGGAGCTGCTGGGTGGGTTTGAACCACCAACCTCTGGGTTGCCAGTCAATCGCAAACCACTTGTGCTACCCAGGCATTAATTATGTTTTCTTCTATTGCCTGATTACCTTCCCAAACCCTGCAATAATTTGTTGTTTCCAATATACGTCACTGACTTTGGTAATTTAAAGCTGCTTTCTAACGACTCCTGATTTTGAAAGCATCTCTTCTCAAGCCTGGTTACTTAGTGAGAAATGCTCTCCCCTCCCTTCTCTCCTCCAATGGTGAGTATAAAGTTCCCATGAAGAAGTAAAAAGGGGATAAATATAAGAATAATAGCTAGCATTTCTTCAGTGCCCATTTTTTATAATTTTATCTCACTCATCATAAAATTCAAATTAAAAATTAAGGATTCTATTAAGTTGTGGGGCTGGCAGGTAAAGCAACATCAGTCAATCTTCAAAAGCCATATTTCATTGTTATAATTCATTACCAGAGAGGGTGTAAGTTTTCTGAATCTTCCAACGTTCTTAGAGCCACGATTTCTGTGTTCTGAAATTCATTTCTCCGTTTTATTCTGAGTTTGGTGTTTATAAATTCTGCATCCTTAAATTATGTTTGTATCACTACAAGACGTCAGTTCATAACACAATCTCACAAATACGTTCTGGTTCCTTCTGGTCTAAAACGTGTAATTTGCATTTTTATATACTAATGAATTACCCCCTCTGTTCTTTTTTTTTTTTTGTCTCTGCTACATGGACTTTACTTTTTCTTTTTAATTATAAGACTTTACTTTTAGGTTTATAGTGAAATTATACAGCAAGTTCCCATAGGCTCCCTCTCACCCTGAACTCAGTTCCTCCTATTACTAACATCTTGCCTTCCTGTGGTGCGTTTAATTGATGGATCAATACTGAGATGTTATTATAACTAAAGTCCATAGTGTTTGTGTTCGGCTGTGCTGTAGGTTTCGACAAATCCGTAACATAGCGTGTCCACCGTTTCAGTACCATACAAAGTTTCACTGCCAGAAAAATGCTCTCTGCTTTACCGATTCATGCTTCTCCGCTTTCCCCCTGAGCCCTGAAACCAGCGATCTCTTTATTGTCTCTGTAGTTTTGCGTCTTCCAGAGCGTCACATAGTTGGAATCACACAGTATGTAGCTTTTTCAGACTGGCTTTTTTCACTGAATAATATGCATTTCAGGTTCTTCCATGTCTTTTCATAACTTAATAGCTCATTTATTTTTATTGCTGAATAATATTCCACGGTATGGATGCATCACAGTTTATTATTGAGGGACATCTTGGATTCTTCCAAATTTTGGCAATTATTTATAAGGCTGCTACAAACGTTTGTATGCAGGGTTTTGTGTGGACCTTCGTTTTCAGCTCATTTGGGTAGATACCTGGGAATGTGATTGTTGAATCATATGTACGCCTTTGTTCAGCTTTGTAAGAAACAGCCAAGCTATCTTTAGACGTTGCACCATTTTGCATTCCCACTGGCAATGGATGAGAGTTCCTGTTGTTCCACAGCCTGTCAGCACTGGGTGTTGTCAATGTTTCAGATTTTAGCCTTTCTAACAAGTGTGTAGTGGTATCTTATTGCTGTTTTGTTTTAATTTGCAATTCCTTAATGACATGGGGCGTTGAGCATCTTTTCATATGCTTATTTGCCATCCGTGTATCTTCTTTGCGGACTTCCTTAAAGAAGGAACTAGTGCTCAATTTAGTACAATAATATATGTTTATGCTAACTACAGTTTAATCTTAAATGCATACGTATTAGTTTCCTAAGGTCAGGGTGCGCTAACAAAATACCACAAACTGGGTGGCTTACCAAGAAGAATCTATTCTCTCACAGTTCCAGAGGCTAGAAGTCTGAAATCAAGGTAGTGGCAAGACCAGGCTCTCTCTGAAGTTTCTAGGGGAGGAATCCTTCCTTGCTTCTTCTAGCTTCTGGTGGTCCCATGCGTTCCTTGGCTTGTGACAGCACACCTCCGACTCTGCCTGTTTCTTCATGGGGTTGTCTTCCCTCTGCGTCTCTCTCTGTCAGCTCTCTTCCTATAAGGACACCTGTCACATTGGATTAAGACCCACCTTCCTCCAGGATGACCTCGTGTTAACTAATTACATCTGCAAAGGTATTATTTTCGAATAAGATCACATTCCCAGGAACCGGGAGTTAAAACTGGAACATATCATTTGGGGGGATACAAATCAACCCATAATAATAGATAAAGTTAGTGGTTGATGGTTTTGTGGCTATCACTTTAATATGTACTTTCCATTAAATTTTAAAATAGCCACTAATGAGATATTATTATGAATTTTTGGAAATATATAATAAAGATCTTTGACTATAATCTCCTATATGAATTACAGGTTACCAGCAATTCATCCTATGCACTAAAGGCACAACATCTGAACCACCACAAAGTATAACGGAACAGTTGAAGAGAAATCTGACTTTATGTGTGGAGATGTATAACAATGTCTCAAGTGAGCATATCATTTCCAAAAATCTGTCAGAAAACAAAATAAGAAAGTTGAAAAATCTAGTCTCCCAATACTGCAAAGACTTAAAGCAGAAGAGGAAAGGTGAGTAAATAGGGTCTATTTCATATAGTCATATCGGTGACTTGTTAGTTGCCACCAGGTTGGCTCCAACTCATGGTTACCTTATGTATAACAGAATGCAAGGCTGCCTGCTCCTGGGCCGTCTTCATGGTCTTTAGGATGTTTGAGTCTATGGTGGCTATTGAGTCCATCCATTTCAGTGAGGATTTCCCTCATTTTTGCTGACCCTCTACCAAACCTGACTAGTGAATCAGTCACTTAGGGGTCTCCAATTTCTACTAGCCTTTGGCTGGGTTCCTAATTTTAGAATATTTCTAAAATCTTCTATTAAAGAAGAAAACACGTTTTATCTGTCCTTACTTAATTTGTTTGTATTCTTAATTATTATTGTTTTTAATAAACTAATGCATAATTATGGATCTCTATATCTCTCTGTTGGATTATTATCACTGTTTCTTATATTCCTAGGCCTTCTTGTTTCTTCCTTTACACTGCCATTTTAGTGGAAGTTAGCTGTAAGTAATTTCCTATTAAAGGGTCAATGAGAGATGCCTTTTCTGTATCCTTGCATGTCTGAAAGGGCTTTTATTTTGGCTGTGTATAAAATTTAAGGTTGAAAATTAGTTTCCCGGAGAATATAGGAAGAGTCACTTCATTGTGTCTTAGCAACAATATTGCTAATAAAAAGTCTTTGTGTTTTCCATTTCATTTTAAATTACCTGATTTTAGCTTTTAAAATATTTTCTTTATCCTTGAAAAAACCAAACCAAACTCATTGCCATCGAGTTGATCCTGACTCATAGTGACCCTGTAGGATAGACTAGAATTGCTCCACAGGGTTTCCAAGGAGCAGCTGGTGGATTCGAACTGCCAACCTTCTGGTTAGCAGCTGAGCTCTTACCCACTGCGCCACCAGGGCTCCTCTTTATCCTTAGGGCTCTACAATTTTAAGATAATCTGGGTGTGTGTTTCAATCATGTCTTTGCTTTGCACTCTGTGGACCTTACCAATTTGAAAGATTCATCGAAATCTTTCAAATGTAGGAAAGATATCTGGTAGTATTGTGTTCTTTTTTTGTTTTTCCTTCACTACACTTCCTCTATTCTTTCTGTGACTTCACTCCTCTAGTTCAAATGATAAGATTTTCAGATTGTCCTCTTTTCTCTGTGTTTTCTGTCTTTTTTGACTTTCGATTCTGGAAGATTTCCTTATTTTTCACTTCTTCGATTGATTATTATTTTGGCAATCATAATTTTTAATCTCAATAATATCTGCTTAATTCTTGAAAATCTGTTTCTACACCATCCTGTTCTTTGCTTAAGTATATAACAACTTTTGTAGTATATCTGGAGCCCTGGTGGCACAGTGGTTAAGAGTTCAGCAGCTAACCAAAAGATGGACAGTTTGAATCCACCAGCTGTTCCTTGGAAACTCTGTGGGGCAGTTCTACTCAGACCCATAGGGTTGCTATGAGTCGGAATCAATTCGAGGGCAACAGGTTTGGTAGTATATCTAAGTATATTTGTTAGAAGAGTATTTCTAAATATTATACTTCTCTTGCTTAAGTTATGCCCCTATCAGAACAGAAATGGACTAAGATCCCATTTTCATAATCTAGACCACAGTGGTTTTCTTTGATTGCTTTTAATAATCCTTTCATGATTTTTCTTCCTATATATCTGTGATTTTTCTTCTACCCTCAGATTGTTCCAGATCCAAATCCTATTTCCTTCTAGATCACATTCTTTTCCTTCTCTCTTATCTTAATCATCGCATTCAGTATACAATGTTTGTTAATCCTTTCAATATCTAGTACAAATGTTTATATATTACTAGTATATATACTTATAGTATAGCTGTGCATACTTACTATGAATATGTATATTTACATTATATCTTTATAGTTTTACTCATTTTTTTTCAGACCCCACATGCTCAAAGTTATGGATATCACATGGAGAGAAATGTTACTACTTTTCTACTGAACAAAAGAATCATTTTTGTTTTGAGAAGAATAACAGTGATTGTACAATGAATCATTCCCTTTTAATGAGTATTAACAATGAGATGAATTCAAATAGAGCCCAGTCTGTATTAGGATTTGTGGTAGGTCAAAGAAATTACTTGGTTTTGTTAAGGTGCAGGTAAGAAGAATTTGGGTGACATTAATTCTTGACTTATCCTGATAGATGGATTTTATACCCTTTGCCCTTGCCCCTCTCTCTGAGAGTAGCCATTGGAGATTTCTTACATCACAGGTTCAGAGAGCAAAAATATACAATTATTAGGAAAGAGACTAGTCCATGATACATATTACAACAGATAAGCTATGGAAAGATATGTCTTTGGTATCTCCTATTCCCTGTGATTTCTGGTTTTCGTAGAACTAGAAACCAAAACCCCATCCATTGCCGTCGAGTCAATTCTGACTCATAGCGACCCTATAGGACAGAGTAGAACTGTCCCATAGGGTTTCCAAGGAGCAGCTGGTGGGTTCCAGCTGCCGACCTTTTGGTTAGTGGCCAGACTCTTAACCATTGTGCCACCAGGGCTTACAGAACTAGAGAGGAAATGGTAATGTTTCATTTCCAGGTTAAGGCATATTATAATGGACTATTGATGCAAATCAAGGGTTCTTCTTCTTAAAGCTTTGTCCACTAATGAAAAATCATACTTTTTAGAGCACACTCTACTTGATATAATCATATGTCTTATCCCTACACATGGCAATCCTATTTAGTGCTATCAAACCTAACCTACAAAGAAACAGATCGATAAAGTTACCACACTGTTCATGATTATTTTGTTGCTGTTGGTTCTACTACTTAAATTTATTCTTACCTTTCTTTTACACTTAATTAATCCAATCTATTTTTCAAGTTTCAACCTCATTGCTTCTTTGACATTTTTGCTTCCATCACAAAAAAACTGAATTAATGGCTTTCTCTTTCATACTCTTACAGCGTTATATTTTCTAGTCAACATCTTTGAATAGGTCTGTTTTCTCTGCTATACTTCTAGTTTCTTGAAGGTAGCAAATGTGGCTTACATATCATTGTATATCCAGTACCTTGTTTTCTAACAATTGGTCACCCCTTTATCAGTTGTTTGATTACTATCTGATGAATGAATGAATGAATGCTAAATCATTCTTACTAAAAAGTCTATACAAAATTGGAGGAATATATAGTCAAATATAAAGAGGACATAAATTCCAAGGGGAGTTTCCCTGTGAATTGTTGAGTTCTCAGTCTCATTAAGAATTTTCACCTAGGCCCCCTCCACAAGTGGATAATTTTTATTTTCTATAGTGAGGGTAGGTCCATGACACCTTTCTAACTGTTACTCTCCTTAGGATAGAACTGGTTATTTATTTATTCGTTCATTTGATAATTTTGTTTTCTTCAATATCATTTATTGAACATAATCTACAAGCTACAAACAACAAAAATATATCTATTCCGGGGCATGACGAAGGGTCTTTGTTCAAAATTGTGAGCTCCTTTTCCTCTAATAACATTTGTCTGGACACTAAAGATTATGTCCTGGTCTAATTTTTTGATCCATTCCTTACCCTTCATATTATGTGGGCTGAATTTTTCTTTATGGTTTGTTGAATATACATGTTATTTCTACCTTCCTGGTAGAAATGAGAGATTTCTTTACCCAATAAAATCAATAAAATGTCACACCAAGAATCCTGTATATATTCCCAAACATTGACTCAAAGAAAATTTTGACAATGTGACTTCCTACGCACTCAAACTTCTTTAACTTCTCCATAACTACTATAGGTCCAGAACACACCTCTAGATTTGAGCCAAGAAAGGGATATGAAGCCCATGACATTATGAACACCTGATGCTCACATCTATAAGTCTTATTATTACAATCAATTTCTTTGTATGGGTCAGTTTTTATAGTTTCAAGACGACCAGAGGACTGACACACACCGTGGCTCGTAGCCAGTCACTTGTTATTTTGCCTGGGACAATCCCAGCTTGTATCTTTTGTCCTAGCATGTTATCAGTTAGTAACTATCAATGATCAATTTTTCACTTACAAAAGGGGTGCGAATTTGGATAATATCCTTTATGGTGGTCAAAGGCCTGGGTGAATGGCTGACGTTGCCATCCTAGATATTATAACAAGTGTATGTGAGACCTCTCAGACAATTAAAGTGGCAGGAGTCATTTCTGTCTGGTATCCTTTCTGCTAAGAAATCTCCCTATTATCTATTAAAGACAGAGGGGAAGGGTTATCCTTTAGTTAAACATTGATTACACCAGGTAATTCAAAGAAATATTTCTTAAGTGTTTACTAAGGTTTGCACATTGGCTAAATGCTTGAGAAAAACAAGTTCTGCCCTTGAAGTCTTTTAAAAGTTTATAATGTAAGGTGAAGCAAAACAATAAATTAAGAATTATGCCAAGGGTTATTAAACTGCAGTTGTGATGTTACATATACCACAAATAAAATGTACAGTACTCCAAAAGGATGGTCAGAGATGGCTTGAAAACTAAATGAGAAGGGAACAATTAAATAAAGTTTAAAGCCCAGATTATTCTCTTAAGAATCTTAGAGGTTAATGGAAGGCAAAATATCTTTTATATCTCAAGAGAAAACTCAAGGTACCCCAACACATTTCTAAGACATTATTACTTAATTCAGGAGGGAAATATCAAAAGAGCAGGATACCAAAAAAAAAAAGAAAAACCTGGACAGAGACAGGTAAATTGGAGTAGAGTGGGGGTCTCAGTGGAAAGGAGGGCCTTGAATTAATGAGAACGTAGTCCACTATGCATGGAGAAAAGTAGTTTAGAATTTTTGAAGATATAGATACTGTGGTGTTTTAGGGAGTAGAAACTTAGAAGGTTATCTGATGACTTCCATTTTTGCCTGTCAAGTAGGAAGCTGAAACATGATCATCTGCTGAACGTTAGAGTGTAGTGATGGTGTTAAGTAAGAAGCTGGAGAAGAGTAAAGAAGATTTTTAAAACCTCACTCAGGGAAAGGGGGTAATAAGCCAAGAAGAGGTGAAAGTATTGTTGAGTGGGATTGTGATGACATGAATCTACTCTAACGCACTGGAGTGAGCTCCTAGTGACACAAAGCAGCTGTAACTGGCGTGTTCCTTTTGTTTATAGCTGTTCATTCACTGTCTTCCATCACCAAACTCCTCGGTGGAGCTGAATTGTACTCTCAACCACGAAAGTTAGACAGCAGAGAATGGTTCCAAGTTCTGCATTAACTTGTGAGTCCCCATCCTTCCCTTCCTGTCAATAAATAAATAAATATCTAGTATGCTAACGGTAAGATGTTTCTCTGATAGCCATTCTCCATATATGATCAAAAGATACATACACAGGACACAAGAAATTCAGGAAGCAATTGTCTATTCCTCAGGCAATTCTTTTTTGGCAAAAAAAAAAATCAATTTTATATGGAAGGAGTTCTTTGGAATTGACAGCACAGGAAGTAGAAATTCAAGAGCTGTGCTATGCTCCCCTGCTCTCCCTTTCACACTACGCTTCATCCCATTCTAGGACCTACACTAAGCAATGATGAGAAAGTAAAAGGAAGCAGTGAAATCAGCGTCGAGGATATTACCCTGTGAAATAGAACAAAAGTGTCCCCTTGGAGCCAAGAAAACTCTGCTTTGTTTTTCTCACTTTATATGTTATTGAAGTAAAGAATATAAGCTTATATACTTCACTAAAAGAGGATTATCACAGTATTTTAATGGATTTTGATCAGAATGACCATGTGACTTATTGTCCAAACAGAACAGTTTTGAGAGTGAAAGGAGGCACTATTGATAATTGCACCAAGACATCAGGAGTAAACAAGAAGTGTCCTGGGCAAGAGAGGATGTATGGCCACCCTAATATAATGATACTTTATTCATCGACCTCTTGGGTAAACTTGGTTACAGAAGGTCCAGCGATAGCTGCAAGTCCCAGACAATTGAGGGCTCTGGCAAATTCTTATCATAGTGTAAGGAATCACCAAGGCTGCTGTTACTTTGTTATTTTAACTAAAATAATCTAACAAAAAATAAAAGATAAGCTTGGGAAATAATAGATTGGATTTACGATGTAATTGTCTGGCTTTCAAAATAAATAATCAACCTTTTTTTTTACAGGTCTGACATCCCCATAAGTATTTCAAGTGTTGAAACATTGAAATATGCAGTATTCAATGGAAAGAAAATAATTGGAAAATCTAACTAGTATAGCAGTTACTATTATTTGTGAAAAGAAATTAAATATGACAAACTGTCAGTCCCAGAAAATTCAAGCACTCCTATGTTATGCGACCATAAAAATGACTATGCAAGTGAAGTCGTGCAAAGAATCTTCACAATCAAAGGGAAAAAAATACGATTGCTTTGTGACCTTTAAAACTTTTATCAAAACATTAAAAACTCCGTTACTGTTGATTATAAATACACAGGAAATGAAAAAATAGTAAAACTAACATGATTTAGTACACTGTAATTTAAAACTTTAGAAACATTGAAAATTAAAGTTTTTCTTTCTTTTATCAAGAATAGTGTGAATAGTGCTTGTCTTGTTCATATATCTTCCTAAATGGGGTGAACATCTTTTCATTGCCTGAGCAAAGTTTCTAAGTCTGGATCAGCTTGCAACGTTTGTGCTTTCGATGGTGTGAAATCTCTCCAAGACTTTCTTTAATGTGAACTTGTTTACGGCCATCACTTCCTTTGGGAGATCATCTTCTTCATCACAACCACTTCCATTTATGTTGACACATTTCCTTCACTGAGGTCCTCCGGCTGCACACCTAGAGTCTCTGAAATGGCGACAGCGCCAACATTCCCGTGGACAGCTATTTCTTCTTTAACTCCATTTAGATTCCATTGGAATCCCATGCGGTTATTTGCACACGGTGGTAAAATCTACTGCTGTACCACAAGATATTACCACTGTTACTTCCTGCCAGTAGGCTTCAATGTTTTTGCTTGTGTGTGTTATGTAACGCTTCTTCCAAAACCCAGCTAAAGAAATTGCATAATCTCCAACTGCAGTGTCAATACCTGTCCAAAAGTCCATCCAAGATAATAGACTTTAAATGTTGAAATAACTCCTTGGTCTGTCAGCTGGGTTGATGAAGTTATGTTTGGTGGTAAAGAGCAAATTTCACATATTCAATCAAGACCCTAGGAGAGTCAGGGGACCTGGAGCATTGTTCGACAATAGTAGTGCTTTAAAAATTAAATGATTGTACCTACAGTATTTCTAGCAGTGAGGGAAGAAGAGGGAAAACAACTGTATGCTTCACAGTCTAAACGTGCATTGAATAAGAAATTCTCAGTGATGAATCAAGAACAGACCTTGAAAGAAGTGACAAGATTGGTCACTCATCATTATGAAAATCTGTTACTTACATAGTAGCAAAGTTTGTACTTTATGCAATTATTCTTAGTTAATATACCATGGTAAATAAAAACTGGACCTTGTTTTTGGGAGACTGATATTATTTACCTGAGCCATGATCACTGAAATCCATGCATATCAGAATCATGCAAAATGAGAACAGCCTGTGCTTCCAATACAAATCGGCTATGTGTAATTATGAATCCTGAAAATTATAGCAATTGTTAAACTCAGTAGTCTCTCCATTAATCTTAATCTCAGCATTCTGTCTGTGTAGGGTACTGGATATAAAGAACAACTTTGTCTCTTCCTTCCTGCTGCTCAGGGTGCACCAGGAATACATTAAAACATTTGTTTTTTTTAAACTTTTTTTTTTACTGTGGTAAGTATATATATAACAAAACATTTTCTTTCTCAACATTTTTTACATGTATAATTCCGTGACATTAATTACATTTATTATGCAGCTACCACCACTATCTGTTTCCAATTATTTTCTATGAGCCTTAAAAGAAACTCAGTGCCCCCTAAGCAGTGACTCTCCCTTCGCCTCTCTCTCCTACTCCTGGTAACTACTAATAAACTTTGGTCTCTGTACATTTGTCTATTTGAGATATTTCGTGTAAGTGGGATCGTATAATGTTTGTCCTGTTGTGACTGACTTGTGTTACTCAGCATAATGTTTACAAGGTTCATCCATTGCAGCAAGTATCAGGACTTCGTTTCTCTTTATGGCAGATTAATGCTTCATCGTATGTATGCACCACATTTCGTTTATCCTTTCTTCCATTGATGGACACTTAGCTTGTTTCCATGTTTTGGCTCTTGCGTATAGTGCTGCACTGAACTTTGGTGTACAAGTACCTGTTTGTGTTCCTGCTTTCAGTTCTTTTGGGCATATACCTAGGAGTGGAAATACTGTATCATATGGTAATTTCATCTTTAGCTTTTTTTTTATTGTACTTTAGATGAAGGTTTACAGAACAAATAGTTTCTCATTAAACAGTCAGCACACATATCGTTTTATGACATTGGTTATCAACCCCATGACATGTCAACACTCTCCTTTCTTGACCTTGGAGGACCCCACTTTTTTTTTTGGTGAAAATATACATAGCCAAAGATACACCATTTCAAAAATTTCCACATGTACAATTCAGTGACATCGATTACATTCTTCCAGTTGTGCTGCTATTCTCACTATCCTTTTCCAAATTATTCCGTCACCATTAACTTCAACTCACTGACCCCTAGGCTTTGTGTCAAAACTTTTGAGTTCCTGTTGTCAATTTGCTCTCACGTAGGTAATTCTTTTTTTTTTTTTTTTGTATTTTAGATGAAGATTTGCAGAATAAATAGTTTCTCATGAAACAGTTAGTACACATATTGCCCTATGACAATGGTTAACAACCCCACAACATGTCAACACTGTCTTTTCTCAACCTTGGGTTCCCTATCACCAGCTTTCCTGTCCCCTCCTTCCCTCTAGTCCTTGTCCCTGGCCTGCTGTGCCTCATTAGTCACATTTTATTTTATGGGGCTGTCCAATCTCCTGCTGAAGGGTGAACCTCGGGAGTGACTTCACCACTGGACTAAAAACGTGTCCGGGGGCCATACTCTTGGGATTTCTCCAGTCTCTGTCAGGCCAGTAAGTCTGGTCTTTTTTTGTGTGTTAGTATTTTGTTCTACATCCTTCTCCAGCTCTGTCCAGAACCCTTTGTTGTGATCTTGGTCAGAGCAGTCAGTGGTGGTAGCCGGGCACCATCTAGCTGTACTGGATTCAGTCTGGTGGGGGCCTTGGTAGCTGTGGTCCATTAGTCCTTTAAACTAATCTTTTCCTTGTATCCTGTTCTCTTCCTTCTCCCTTGCTCCCAAAGGGGTGAGACCAGTGGAGTATCTTAGATGGCTGCTCACAGGCTTTTAAGACTCTAGACACTACTCACCAAGGTATAATGTAGAACATTGTCTTTATAAACTGTGTTACGCCAGTTGAGCTAGATGTTCCCTGAGACCATGGTCCCCACAACCCTTTGCCCAGCAATTCAGTCCTTCAGGGAGTTTGGATGTGTCTATGCAGCTTCCATGACCTTGCCTTGTACAAGTTATGCTGGCTTCCCCAGTATTGTGTACTGTCTCACCCTTCACCAAAGTTACCACTTATCTAGTGTCTATTTAGTTCCCCCCCACCCGTCCCATCCCTCATAACCAACAAAGATGGTTTCTTTTTGTGTGTAAACTTTGTCATGAGTTTTTACACTAGAGGTCTCATACAATATTTGTCCTTTTATGATTGACTTATTTCACTCAGCGTAATGCCCTCCAGTTTCATCCATGTTATGAGATGCTTCACAGATTCATCATTGTTCTTTATCATTACATAATACTCCATTGTGTGTATGTACCGTAGTTTGTTTATCCATTCATCTGTTGATGGGCATTTAGGTTGTTTCCATCTTTTTGCTATTGTGAACAATGCTGCAATGAAATGGGTGTGCATATGTCTACTCGGGTGATGGCTCTTACTTCTCTAGGATATATTCCTAGGAGTGGGATTGCTGGATCATATGGTATTTCTATTTCTAGCTTTCTAAGGAAGAACCATATCATTTTCCAGAATGGTTGTATCACTATGCATTCCCACCAGCAGTGCATAAGAGTTCCGATCTCCCTGAAGCCTCTCCAACATTGGTTATTTCCAGGGTTTTTGATTTGTGCTAGTAATGCCAGGGTGAGACGGTATTCGTTGTAATTTTAATTTGCATTTCTCTAATGGCTAGTGATCACGAGCATGTGCTCATGGGTCTGTTGGCCGCTTGAATGTCTTCTTTGGTGAGGTGTCTGTTCATTTCCTTTGCCGATTTTTTAGTTGGATTATTTGTCTTTTTGTTGTAGAGGTGTTGGATTTTCTTGTAGATTATGGAGATTAGAGCTTTGTCTGACTTGTACTGTCCAAAA